CAATTATGATAACGGTTCAGTCCAAATACAATAACGGTTCAGTCCAATTATGATAACGGTTCAGTCCAAATACGATAACGGTTCAGTCCTAATACCCTGACAGTTCATTCCTAATACGTTTTCAACCAAAACAACCCAATATGTTTGACGTTTTAGGATTGCATCTTCACAGAATCCTCTGTGTCTGTTTCAGGGCTGTGGTCCAATAATATACCGTTTCATCCGTGGGACAAAGCAGCTGCAGGCTCTGCGTTTCCTCGGCGTGTCCATTGGCGTGGCTCAGATCCTGGCCATGGCCCTCACACTCACTTTGCTCTGGGCACTTTATTATGGACAGAAGTGTCCTGAGATTGACTCACAGAGTCCTCCTGCTCTGCGGGACGATGGTACGCAGGACACAGTGACCATCAGGACTTCGGATGCTGCAGAATGATTAAAAGTGAAACAAACTCAGGTTCTGTTGAGCTGAAAGAACTTCAGGTGGAGATGGAGCAGTTTCATGGATCAGGATCAACACTGAAAATCAAACCTGTGATTTATTCTGGAAGTTCTGTTCACCGTTTCACTTAGAACATCTGGAACCAAACAGCTGAATGAGGAACTAAACTCCTGCAGAAGACACCAAGAAGAAAGCTACCTTCTTCAGTTGGTCTCTGATGAACGTTCATACTCATTCTGTTGCTTTATGTAGGTCAGACTCCATTTATGTTTTCTGTAAACAAAAGAAGAGCTCTGATTTGTCAGAACAAAGAGCTCCGCCCACTGACCACATCAGTTCTGTTAAAATACAACATTAAAGAAAATTATTCACTGGATGGAAAATAAGTTTCTCCTGCTTGTAGTGCAAAACTTGAAGGACGTTATTTGAAAAACACAGATAACTGTGGTTCTTCTAACTTGACCTTCTCACCACTAACATGAAGACCTTCTCACCACTAACATGAAGACCTTCTCACCACTAACATGAAGACCTTCTCACCACTAACATGAGGACCTTCTCACCACTAACCTGAGGATCTTATCACCACTATCATGAAG